ACACTCATGCGCACGCACGCACACACACACACACACACACACACACACACACACACACCATTGGACCATTGGACGCCCACCATTGGACGCCCATCGCCGGAGGCGATGATAGCGATGCTACAGCAGAAGCCATAGCAGCTTGTGCCAGGATTGCACCATTCAAAAGCTTGCAAGGCTGAAGAATTGACCGCCACTATTCAGCCTGGTCTACACCACACAGCTATGAAGTGGCTTTTTCTGGCCAGTGAATCCCTACTTTTTGGTCTTTTTCATATTTTTTTTCGCACACATATCACACCACATACTCCGGCATGCACTGGCTGTTGGTAACCACCCAGGAGAATGAAAGAAAAGTCAGGAGGAGTCTGAGAAAGAGAAGAAAGACGTGTGTGACCATAATCGTCGGGAATCGAACCCGCAGCCTCTCGATTGGAAATCGCTGCACATACCACTGCACCATATGGGACACACACACACACACACACACACACACACACATACATGCAAACACACGCACACACACACACACACACACATGCACACACACACACTTACTTACACCTGCCCATAGCTAACAACAACCTAACTACGGTACTGCCTGGTGCCGCAGAACTGCGGGTTCAGAGTTGCAGCCTAGGCTGCTCTCACATTTCATGCAGAACTGTGTATATTAGCTGCGCCCTCGTGTACAGACGCGTACCCTGCGCCTGGTAAAATTCCAGCCTGTTTGTTCTTCGGCGAGCGGCGGTACTGTACACACTCATACATGGGTTATCCGGACTCCGAAGTTACAGGCACTTCGGTCTACCGGGTACCCTTTGGGCGAGTTTTAGTGGAAATATTACTACTCTTTTGTCACTTGAATGGAAACCCTTACACACACCATCTTCAATCCAAGTGGTCTCTTTGCTGCAAATTACAATAATTCTCAATCAAATTTTCGGCCAGGAGCCATCATCAGGATTGAGGAGAAAAACAAGTGAGGTGGACCTATAACAGGCAACGTAAAGTGGAACGAAACTACACCATACGTGATAAAATTGCACCATCCTTTCAGCACAGGCACACACCCACACACACACATACCCATGCGGATGCCAAAACACTTAGACACACACTCATACTCACACTCGCACCAACACTCACACTCACACAAGCTCACACTCCAAATCACACCCACACCCACACACGTGTAACTAAAGACACCCACAAAACAAAAAATACCGATGTGCCTGAAAACAAGGTGTGAATAGTGGTGTGACTATGACAAAAAAAAGGAGAGATGAGATTCCGTCGCCAAACTGCACTTACGCTACAACATTGTGCTGAACTATATAACAATGGCGTAAACAAGCACACATGACAGCAGGACAGAACAGTGACAACAGTAAAAACTGATCATCATCCAATAAGACATCTTTCGTCACTTGTTGTGGAAACAGTGACGTCATATGCCATATCAAGAGTACATAACCAAGAGTGTGCAACTCGACGATCCCCCAGCCCACGGCGGAATTTTTTTATGACATCAGTCTGCAATTTCAAATTTGGACTTCACGGAGAATTTCAAAGTTTTTAGGAAATTAGAGGCCACATGTCACGTACTGCTCTTTCCGAGTCCCGGTGGTGTGACAGATGATTTTTTCTTTCTTTCATATCTGGCTTGCAAGTGTTGAATTTCGGAGAGAAAAGAGCAGTACGTGGCATGTGGCCTCTAATTTCCTAAAAACATCAGTCTTTGGCGGCTGTTTATGCTATGTATACGTCATACTTCATAATATGATGACTCCTCTTTTCTCTATCATACTGAGCATGCGTCATAACAACATGGTCTTTTTTGTCCGTCACTACTCTATGAACTGTTTGTGTGTTAGTGAGGTCCGACACAACAATGGCGACGAGAATGGGATGAATTTGTTTTGGTCGTTTTACTTTACTGTGTATTTAGCTACTTACCTGTAGCTGTGCTATTTCTGCATCATGGCAAAGGCCACGATAGAGCCGTTCGACGGCGGAGACTTTGAGGAATACCAGGAAAGACTAAATTTTTTTTTCATTGCCAATGAAATTGGACAAGTGGCGTCCAGTGCGTCAAACGCGGATAAGGCGAAAGCTGACAAGCGCATGACGGCTTACCTTATTTCTCTACTGTCGAAGACTGTTTACTCGACGTTGAAGACCCTGTGCTTGCCAAGAAACCCGACGGATTTCAAGTACTCCGAGATCGTTGACAAGCTGAAAGTACATTACAAGGTGAAAACCTCACGGACGACGGCGACACACAAGTTCCGTCAATGTGTTCAAGGGCCCTCGGAGAGTGTTACTGATTATTCTCATAAACTCCAGCGCTGTGCTGTAGAGTGCAAGTTCGGCGATCATTTGGACAGAGCTCTTTGTGATCAGTTTGTGGCTGGGCTGCGCGATCTAGACACGCGCAAATTTATTTTGTCAAAGCCGGACGACGACGTAAAGTCATTTCAGAACGTATTTCAACTGGCGTTGACGGAGGAGACGGCAGGTCTGTTTGCTCGTACTCTACAGGCCAGTGGGAGCGCCAGGGACCAAGTCCAAGATGACGGAGTGCACGAGTTGCGGACGAGGCACTCGTCGGACAAGCACAAATTTCAGTCAAAGTCCAAGTCCAAAACACCCACTACTAAGTCTAAGGCATGTTATCGTTGTGGTGTCGCCAGCCATTTGGCCACTGCATGTAAGCACAAAGACACTCGCTGCCGACACTGCCACAAGACTGGCCATCTGGAGCGGGTGTGTCTGTCCAAGAAACGCCAGCAAGATTGTCATCAACTCCAGGAGACGATCAGTTCTGATGATGGTGAGAGCGTTCCTATCATATGCTCGCTGATGCCATCATGCGTAGCCAGAGATCAAAGTACAAAGAATTTGTACGTCATAGCTACGGTAGTCGAAGCAGAACAACGGCCGATAGATCGATGTGTCCTGAACCTGGTGAACTCTCACCCTATCTACAAAAAAATGCGCGGGAAAGCATACGCACTGATCATACTTCAGCCAAAGGATGACGCAATAAAAAAATTCCGCCGTGGGTGAACCCATCGCAGCTCGAGATAGGAGTTGCACACTCTTGGTTATGTACTCTTGGCCATATCTATGGAAGTTCCCCATCAAAATGTATGAGATTCGGAGTTACGGACATTTAAAAGTTACGGCCAGTGCTCGGTCCCGGACCGCTCGGATAAACGACGTACAGTATGAGTGTACCTGTCTTGTGCAAGCAAGGCAGGTACACTGCATAACACTAGAGTCCTGTCTGGTTGCAAAGAACCGCGGGCTAAGAGCTGTAGCCTAGGCTGTTCTTATTTTTCATCTAGAAACCTCTCCACGGCTGAGCCATCATCTACAGGCGGGTTTCATGTAAAGTTAAGTTAATTATTAAAGAACTTTTCTGTTTAAGTTAAACAACTTTTTTTACCGGTATCATGTACCTTTTTAAAATTCTAGCCTGTTTGTTCTTCGGCGCCCAAGCTCCTGCTGCGGCACCCCCTGCCACGCCGGCTTCGGCGTCCGGGTGTTCTCAAGCTCAACAGGCGACCACCCTTCAGGCACTGATCGATCGCCTCGTCGGTCCAGGCGGCAGTCAGAGCCGTCGCCCCTGCAGCCTCGGGTCAGGCGGAGTCGGCACGTCGCCGTCCGTCCCGCCCGGCTGCCTCCGTCATCGTTGTCGCCAATCCCAGGGTCCGGGTGGAGGAGTCGCTTCCCACAGGTACGGGTATGAGTAGTCAGAGCAATAGTAGTTGATCTACACGTGTTCCTACTGGCTCCCCTACCCCTGTAGCTGCGTCGAGTGTCGTCGACGGGCCGTCTTCCCGCCCAGTGGAGTGGCTAATTTTAGCTCTTGTGTGACTACTCCTAGTTTGAATCCGGATGTGAATATCTCTATCGCGCCTGGGTGCCGTGCGTCGACATCTCGACATCTCGACTTTGCGCCACGCCCTCCCTCGGCGGAGGAACTTGTAACGGCAACCCGCCAACGCCTAACACTCCAAACCTATCAACCACCGCGACGACACATTCCACACAACCCCTGACAACTACGACCACGCATTTTTATCAGTGTGCATTGACCGTGTCTACAGTGCAGTCATTGAGTGCGTTGTTTAAAGCCATCAAGGTTTGGCTGCCCGAACGTCCGAACACCATCGTCAGGGACCAAGGCCGAGAGTTTGTGAACGACACGAACAAGCTGCTATGCAAGGACTTGGAGATAAAGCAAAACATCTGCAGAGCGCTTATCATCCACTGTCAAATGGTCTCATGGAGCGATTCCACCAAACCCTCGTTCACCAACTTCGAAAGATGGAGGGAATGAATCCCAGAAGGATTGGAATGGTACAATACCCTGGACACTAATGTTGCGAAATTCGATACGCTTATTATTTACACCCGTTGTTGTCTCTGGTCTCGCTGTCTTGTCCTGTCCGGTGTCAAATATGGTCTGCTGTCTGTTTGGGAGTGGTACGTGGTGTGCAGTATATGGGTGTGATGCGTATGACGTGGTATATGTGGTGTATGCGTTGTCAGAGTGTGTGGATCTGCTTCTGCCTGTGTGAGTGCGTTTGTCGACTAGTTGTTGCGCATGCGTGGACTATGTGGAGCATGCGCTGTGCGAGTCAGGTTCGGGTGCGAGGGAGTGGTGTGATTCGTCCACGGTGTTGTTGTCTTGGTTCTGGTCACATGTATCGTGCGTACTGGTCGCTCATTGGTCGTTTCGATGTGTTCGCCCTTTCTCTGTTTATAGCTGTTGGTCGTTTATTATTTCCTTGTCTTTCTCCCCCGCTCTCTCCGCCACCGGTTCGTGAAACCATTCTTGTGAATTATACCTATCAAGCCCAGATGAGTCAGCGTGTTGTTGTGTGGTGCAAGGAGAAGGGCGTGGGGAGTAGTCCACCACTAACACTAATGGCAGGCCGCAGCAACAAGCAGCCGTCCACAAAGCTGCAAACCTGTCTTCTGAGAGTGCCTCGGGACTGTTCAGCCAGAGGGGTAACAGCTGCTTTCGACGAGTCGCAAACCAAGTGATGCATTCTGCTGCATAGTAAAGTTCCCCGGAGGTACAAACACTACATGAGCCCGAGCGCGCTAAAACATGACCACAGCTTTTTTTGAAAAAGTCGAGATAATCGCGATTTGAATTCCGCGGCAAAAAAAAACGAAGTGCAGTGCAACGCGAGTCGCTGTTGTTGTTCTCCTCGGTCGACTAGACTGTTCCGGATGCATTTCTTTGTTGCAAGTAAGTTTATTTTGTTTGAGTTTGTATTCCATGTTGCGCTGAGTCGCCTAAAACTGATCGTCATCGATGTATCGACGGAAGAGCCTAGTAGTAGTAATGTACTGTGGAGCGGAAGAAGACAACATCCTCGCACTCTATGCGCAAGATAAAATATTTGAGGATTCGGGTCGGAAACAGAAAGAAGACGATGGTGGCTACAGCGACGAGTCATTTGAGGGCGACACTGTCATCGAGCGTAAAAGAATTGATGGCGGTAGTCCCACGATCTGCAGTAACGAGGAATTCTACTCTGATGACAACCTGGCAAGCGATTGGCATCGACACTGACTTGGGAGCTGAGTCGGCCGATGATTTGGCCAGAATGGACATCGCTGCACATATCCGGGAGAATGCCAGTGTTGGTTGCAAGTGGAAAAACAATCAATGGACTCTGCTGCTCCCTCAACTTGCTCAAGTCGATAATTTGAGCACCCTTATGCGGAACATCGCAAGCACGAGCAGTAGGCAGCGAAAGCAGTACTCTCTGGTGAGCGGAGAAAACCGTGTGCAGATGGGCTTTGGTATGGGAAATATGAGTGCAACGTCGAGTATGTTGAGGAAGACTCTGTGCAGCAGTGTATACTGTATATCTGAAACTACAGGTGGAGTGTGATGGAGAGGACGTGGAGTGCCAACTTCTTCGGTCATCTACAGATGTTGACGGTGTTTTCGCTGGCGGTTCTCCAGTGGTGCTCTGAACAGGAGGTATTTCGGACACCCAGCTCAGCTGCCTATAGAAATTTTGGATGTGGCCGAGTACCTGTCAGCTCATGCTATAAGACCCTGGACAGAGGAACTGACGGGGAAAGGATGAACCAAGGGACATATCAACTGTGTGCAAAAATGACAATCCCATTGCTGTACGTAGAAATTCACCATTTCAACAGCGCTCTATATAATACCATTATAGCAGCACTTAGACATGTCCGATCAATCCAAAACTTTCAGACAGTGAACATTAGGTGTGTTGGATCATTTTAGAACAAAAAACTGAAAATCGAATTTTTGGTCTGTGGTCACATTTTAGCGTGCTCTGGCTCACATAGTAAAGTCCCCTGGGGGTCCAATCACTATAGTCCTGTGCATAATACTAGCAAGATTAGCAAGAGAGTGTGCAACTCCGGATCTCTCCTGCACAATCACGGCGGAATTTTTTGTTGGCGTCACCTTTTTTCAGAGAAACGCGGATTTTGCCGCAGAGCAGTGTGAGAGCACGTGCTGGGCACCGACCTCGTAGTGTAAAGCCCGGCCAAGTGCACGAGGGAAAACTCTCCAAAAGGCTCGCAGCGCGTGCGTCGTCGAAAAGATTACGTCAACAAAAAATTCCGCCGTGGGCCTACCCATCCGCGAGTTGCACACTCTTGTTTATCTACTCTTGATAGTACCTTTCCCCCGGGGACCAAATGTGTGTGTGTGGGGGGGGGGGGGGCTAGTACTGTGTGACAAAGGCAGCAACACTGACGACACTTAGGGCTTTGTAGATGGACCTTTAGTTTAATATTCACCTGCAATGTACTATAAACTTTTCTAATTGTCCGCAAACTCCAACGCAGCCACTTGCACATTTAAACTTCACTTCTCAACTCCAAAAACACATTTAGTCACATGACAAACTGATGTGAAACCACCCTATGGCAATACAGTAAAACCTGTCAAGGCAACCACCTGTCCCAGAAGACCACCTGTCCCAGAAGACCACCTGTCCCAGAAGACCACCTGTCCCAGAAGACCACTGAAACCAGGACCAAGGGATGCTATTTCCAGTCCAATGACCCTGGATAAGGAGACCACCTGGTAACAGAGACCACGTTTTGCAGGTCCCTTGAGCGGTGGTCGTCTTGGACAGGTTTGACTGTATTAAATGAGTACATGCAGGCAGTAAGAATACAGACTGAGAAACTCACTCGGCGGCTAAGTGCAGGGGAGTATCGCCGCGGTCGTTGCGCGCATTGATGTCCGCGCCACTGTTGAGCAGCTGGCGCAGCGTCTCGGCATAGTTACGATGCGGCAGCTCAGACACACACGCATAGTGCAGCGCCGTGTTGCCCTCGGAGTTGGGCTCGTTCACAAACGCACCGGAACGCAGGAGAAAGTGAACGACGTCGGGCTGCAGTGGAGAATGCATGCCGCGGTAGTGTAGATGAGTACATAGTGGGGCATACATGTAGAAAATCAAACGCACACACGCACACGCACACACACACACACACACACGCACACACGCACACACACACACCCTCCCGCCTGCCCGCGCGCATGCACACACACACACACGGACACACACACGGACACACACACACGGACGGACACGGACACACACACACGTACACGGGCCCAAACCCGACACTAAACTGCCATCATGCACAGAGCCTTGTAAAGTGAGAGGCGCAAGCATGCGCCAGGGGCGTAGCTGGTCCCCCTTTTATGGGAGGTGCACGGCCGCATATCTATTATGTGTAGGATGGCTGGTGCATGTCATTCATGGTCATTATGTGCATGTTGAACATAGGTCGAAATTTAGGCGGGGGGGGGGGGGGGGGCAGGCACGTGGAAAGACTGTTTTTATTGACACGACGACGAAACACAACTGGACATGAGGAGCTCAAGACGAACGACTGCTTTTCACACCACAGCAACACGCGCATGCACCAACACCGCGTACACACCACACACACACAACACGACATACTACATCATCACCTCCACCCAATGAGCTTACCTGACCAGCACATGCAGCGTGATGTAACAGCGGTGACTTGCTAGCAAGATGCACAGCGTTAATGTCCAGACCATCCCGGTATAATTCACTCAGACGATCGGAATCACCGGATTCGGCCGCTTGCACGGCCGCACACGCTACACAATACAACAATTACGGCGGACACATCCAGAAACTAGTGCTCAGCTACAGGGGGAGAGAGAGAGAGTATGTGTGCGTGTGTGTGCGTGCGTGTGTGCGTGTTCGTGTGCGTGTAGCATTTAATATAGTAATAATGCAGATTAACGGGTGCACACTGGTGCATGCTACCACTCAAACTATGCTACTAAAATCTCCTGCCTTGCTACTGCATCAGTGCATGCTCATGCTCCGCTGCACACTTGCGCTACCCCTACATGCCTGATCATATGTAACCCACACTAGCGGGTTGCCTGTGGTTACGTGCAACCATGCCGACCAAACAATACGGCGCCTGCAACATGGAGCTTCCTTCGACGTGGCACTCGACGAGTGGCATTCGACATGGCACTCCGAGTCTGCGCGGCATGCCCAAGTTCTTCTTTTCTGTTTCGATCCGTTCTGTGCTTTGAAACGCGCAGATGCTCAAGAGAAACGGAGTAAACACTTTACCAGGTGCCGGCTCACCTCTGGCCTCCATTTACAGCCACAGTCAGTGCAAATCAACTCTCTTCTAGTATGCTATGGGTGACGAGGCTGACTGCCTGCTCACCCACTTTCACCTCCCAGACCCGGACACGATCATTGCGTTCCAGAAATATTTGAATAATTCGCGGACCACTACAGAAAAAAACGACATCTCGTATACGAGTGGGCCAGATTTCATCAGAGATCACAGCAGCCGGGAATCCATTGAAGGGAATGTATCAGAGAATTGTTGTGCTTCGTTTAGCCGAATGGTGTGATTTCAAACAACAGCACGACGAAATGATCCGCGATCGCCTCGTCGGAGGAGTTGCTGATACATCCCTGTCCAAGAAATTACAACTGGATCCGTCACTCACTCTCGACAAACCGCTGGCTCAAGCTCGCCAGAAGGAAACTGTTCACCAGCAACAATCCATCTTCTATTTCTCTAGCAGTTAATATGTGTGTGCACATGGTGTGTGTGTGCATGCATGTGCATTCTGAGCAGTACGAATGTTCACACAAGCACGCACGCGTACGCGCACGTGGACACACACATGTGTGCACACACGCGGGCACACACACACACACACATACACACCTCTTATCAGGTCAAGCAGGTTGCCGGACGCCAGGGATAACGGTGTGTCTCCCATGTTGTCACGGATGTACACATCAGCTCCATGTCGCAGCAGAAACCTATTCAATACAAATACACACGTACGCACACACACACGAACACACACACACACGTACACACACGCACACACAAACACACTACAACTGGCTCGGTGAAATCCGACCCAAAGTGCAAAGCTGGCACCCTAGACCAGTTCCCATTGCATGGCTGTTTCCGTGAACGCAGACCATCAGCACCATGCACACCATTCTCATGACGTCACAAAGGCTGTGCAAGTGCAAGTCACCAAATGTGCACTTTGGATTGGCTGTCACCAAGCAGAACAAAGTACAGAAAATTTAATTTATCATCCGAAAAAAAATTTCCGTGCGCCATCGGTCGGTTCATGGTAGGGAGCTACTGTCGAGTGCTGAAGAACGACCAGGCTAGAATTTTACCAAGCATAGCATACCAATGTATATACAGTGACTCAGCTGTGCATAGACTAAAGTACAGTCAACTTCCCTTATAACGACATTCGGCGCGGCATCAAAAAGGTGTCCTTATTCGCGAAGTGTCGTTATACCCGAAGTCTCATTATATGTATTACAGTGGGATGGGACTTTGCTCTGGGCATGGAAATTCTGTCGTTATCCGCGAATTGTCGTTATATCCGCAGTCGTTATTAGCGAAGTTGACTGTACATGAGAATAAGAGCGGTCTAGGCTAGGAGGCTGACCTCCAACGACCAGGCTAGAATTTCACAAAGCACAGCATACGAATGTATAGCTGGCCCGCCGGAATCGGTCCGGTTGGTCAGGTTATTACCGGACCAACTTTTCGGCCATCAACACTTGTTTTCTACTGTGGACGTCATGTGTACCCGCCATATCATACACAAACTGTATGAAAGGCACTGATACTACCGCACCAATCATAAACTGCTTCCGGCGGTCCTGTCTACACGGTGACTCCACTGTGCATAGACTGTAATACATGAGAATAAGAGCGGTCTAGGCTAGAAGGCTGACCTCCAACAACCAGGCTAGAATTTCACCAAGCACAGCATACCAATGTACACGGCGGCTCAACTGTGCATAGACTGTAGTACATGAGAATAAGAGCGGCCTAGGCTAGGAGGCTGACCGCCCTCCACCTTAGTTCTTCGGCCACCGACAGTAGTGTAGCCAGTTGCCACTAACCTGACTATGTTGCTGACACCGGCCTCGACGGCATAGTGCAGTGCAGTACGCTGGCGACACGACGAGACCAGGTTGACGTGAGCACCGCGTGCCAGAAACACCGATACGAGATTGTCATCACCAGTCTGAGACGCCAGAATCAGTGGTGTGTTGCCTGGAATCACAACAACAACAATGACGACAATGAACACAACAACAGCAGCAGCAGCAACATTGAACAACACCACCACCAGCAGCAGCAACATTGAACAACAACAGTAAAGGTGATATGAACAGCAATAATGAGAGAGAGAAAAGAGAGATGTATAGGGAGGACAAGAGCAGAGGTGACACTTCACGCTGCTCGATCTACGGACGTGCCTTTCGCATCGCGGTACACAGTGGCAAAAGTCTCCGTGTCGGCTCCACTGAATCGAGACACTCGGGTGCATCTGTACCTGGCCCTGTACTCTACAAAAATTACATTCGACTCCTGATATAACAAACACTATTGTGCAGAAGAATAATTATTAGTTCTTTATAGCCAAAGTTCATTATAAGAGAATTGCACTTATACTGTGGGTTCAAACTGGGACATGGACAACGGTTCGCTATATCACGAAATTCTCTATAACTGTTATGCAAGTTTGTTATAAGTGGAGTCGACTGTACCCAACGAGAAAACGCCAACACCGCACCAGTGGGACACCTGGAGTCCTGCAATATCAACTTTGAAGCAAGACAGTTACAGTGGAACCTGTCTAAGACGACCGCTCATGGGACCTTCAAAACGTGGTCTCTGTTACCAGGTGGTCTCCTTATCCAGGGTCATTTGACTGGAAATAGCATCCCTTGGTCCTGGTGGCAGTGGCCTTCCAGGACAGGTGGTTACCTTATGCGAGTGGTTGCCTTGACAGGTTTTACTGTAGTTCACGTTGGCAAACTCGTATTTTCCTGTTCCATACCTGCTTGCAAACCTGAGATCGGGACAATGACATACCCAAGTATGAAAATGTATACAAACCTAGCTGAGGCATGCGACAAAATGTAGTGCCTTTTTGGGTGCCTTGTAGCACCCCTGCGACATCGGGACGGTCCCGGCCAAATCAAGATGGTTGGTAAGTGTGCAATTCTCCTCCCCCTGTACGGAGACAGCAGCCATCTTCAAAGAACTATCACTCTCCGTCGATGAGCAAACATTCTACGTCACCATGCCGATGCTTTCCCCTGACAGATTCTTCATCATGCCCACACACATACACGCACGCACCCCCCCCCCCCCCCACACACACACGCACAACCCCCCCCCCCCCCCCACACACACACACAACCCTCCCCCCCCCCCCCCCCCACACACACACAGAGTCCCAGGTCACTCACCATCAGCGTCCATGGAGTTAGGATCGGATCCGTAGTGCATTAGCATCTCCGCACTGCGGCGATCACGTTGTAGCAATGCAAGAAGCAGCGGTGTGTGCCGGCGATCATTCACAGCATTCACATCACAGACGCGACGCAGCAATAACTGGAGCATACGGAAACCTGTACGATGCATGCACACACACACACACACACACACACACACACACACACACACACACACACACACACACACACACACACATGCGCACACGTGCGCACGCGCACGCACACACACACACACACACACACATGCGCACGTGCACACTCACACACACTCACACACATACATACACAAACGCACACACATACACACAGCACAAAATAGTAACACACACACACGGCACAAGAGAGAGACACACACACACACTCTCTCATTCATACACCGACATTTAGGCTGCTGCCACAATTTATAGAGATGCAGTTGATTTGCTGGACAATCGCACAAACACACGGCCACACACACGCACCATGTACCATGTACCATGTATACGCCCGTCGCAAGAGAAGCACGCAAATCTGCAAATGCACTGGATGTGCACCCACAGATTTTCTCTTATAGCAACGATAGCGACAAGATCTGAATGAGACAGATCAAGACTTGCGCCAGATAACTGTCTAATCCACACAACTGGCGAAGCCATGTGAATGGACCACCAATGCACACCTGGTCTACACCACACGGAGTACATCGGCATAAAACGGCCAAGACCTATGCACACCCTACACTTGCTGGGGTAACCAGTATAGACAGCACGTTGCTTTGATAGAAGCAGACACTAGATGCACTGGTACCTTGAAGTGAAATTGGAGTTATTTTACCAACCAGCCTCGGCAACTGGGTACTGGGAACCCAGGGCCAACACACACACACACACACACACACACACACACACACACACACACACACACACACACACACACACACACACACGCACACACACACGCACGCAAACACACACACACACACACCTACCTTCTCCATCAGGCATATCCTTAGCCACAACGACGGCGTTATGCAGAGGACTATAGCCATCTTCATCAGCCAGATCAGCATTGGCATTGCAATCCAACAAGGCTTCAACACACTTCACCAAGCCTAACACAACAGGACACAACAAACGCATAATGCACACATGTATTAGGCGCGTTCGAATTGTCACTCTTTGACTTTTCGAGGAGTTTCGTTTTTCTGAAGAGGTGGCCTTATTGGACTCTTCAGAAAAACGAAGCTCCTCGAAACTCCTCGAAACTCCACAACCTCATCCGATGGGAAGGTGGATTAGTTTCGAAGAGTTTGGAATAGCTACGTCACATACTACGTGGAGATGGTCGATCTGATCGGACGTCATCATCGCCATGACAATTCCACTGAGAAACTCTAAAATGATAGAAACCGTTCTAAAGGAACTAATCTCTTTATAACATTTGTTTGAACAGTTGATGAAGACAATTCGAACGCGCCCTTAGTGACATTGATTTCAAGTCACCTTTCAAGTAATCTGATGCCTGATCATGGGGTGGTGGCGTCCCACGGAAACGGAAAGGTGGTTCTTGACCAGGGAGTTGTACGACTCCTTGTTCTTGACCTGCCCGGTACGCGAACCCGTCGAATTATATATTTTTTCCAAATAAACAAGTACAATGACGTTGCTGTTCTGTGGTGTTCCAATGCTGACACATGGGTGTTGGATACTACTGTAGCGGACACGGAAATCCAGTGGATTGACAGGGGCCGGCGCCCTCAGCGCGTACAGAACGCTGCGTGTCATGTTGATCCGATGCGACCAGCGCATAAATGCATGTGTCATTGTGCGTACCATGATGGCGTACCGCTTATCCACGGCTGCATGGCCAGCGCTCTGGGGCCGCTAGACGTGCGACCGGATTTCCATGTCCACGACAGTAGTATCCAACACCCATGTGTCAGCATTGGAACACCACAGAACAGCCGCTCATCTTTCACATATGAGCACAAGCTGGCTGCGTTTCTCAACACAATCGCAAAGCCGGCGGTAACGCGAACATGCGAACATCACTTCTGCTTTTCTTCTTCTTCTTTTTCTTTTACTTTCCAAGGAAACATGTTGACAGATGCGTCAACCCTGCTCCTGTCTAACGGGTTCAGGGAAGATGCGAGCTGTGTTGATTATCATCACAAGCAAACTGCCCGTTACCGCTGCCCTATAGTCCATTCATCAGAAACAGTCCCGCTGGCTTTTCAAAGTCTGATTTGGGCCGAATTGAGGATCAAAAACCCACTTTAAACTTCAAAAATCTGGGTTTGGGATCTGCTTCTCCACACATTTTGCCATCGCATACCGGTCCTAATTTTGTAAAACCTGGCTGAATTTCGATTTCCCTGTTCTTGGACTTTTCTGCCCTCAAGTGTGGCAAGGAGTATGTAATTGCACGGGTCACACAATGCAGGATGTACTGTTGTTTTCACGAGATCTACAACTATACGTGGGAGACACCAACAAGTTAGGGTGCCAGTTTCCAATGAATGGACTGTAGAACAGGCGTCAGAGCACACCGACCGTTTACACACCGCTTACACACCGTTCACACTGACCGTTTCTGACAGCAAACTTGAGCGCAGTCCAGCCCCGACTCTCTTGAACATCCAGCTGCACTGCGTTGGATACTAGCATGCGCACGATGTTGGCACGGGCCAGCTGCTCGTCCTCAGAGCACAGCCTCCGATCTCTGCGAACATGCACACACGGATATGACCACACACACACACACGCGCGTGCGCACGCGCACGGATATGACCACACATACGTGCGGATACGACCACACACACACACATGCACGCGCACGCACGCGCGCGCGCGCACACACACACACACACACACACATACACACACAGACAAACACACACACACACACATTAACTACAACACACAGCAACTTGCGGTACGGGGGAGTGCTGGCCAGCGGAGTGAGAGGCTACGGAGAGAGAGATTCAGGGTCGGCCGGGTAGACACTGCTGGAGCAGAATCCACGAGAGACTTGTCAATTGCTGGAGCAAGATCTTGGCGGAGCCAAGAGAGTCAGAGACTTGTCGACTGCCGGAGCAGGATCTTGGCAGAGCCAAGAGAGTCTAGAAATGCCCGAGGGACGACGACCGAGGGCCCTAAGTAGCTGGAAATGATCGTGGCCCATAGTGGCCAGCAAACCCCGCACCGAAGCAGCCATGAGCCCAGTTCTACGAGCGGCAAGGGAGCGAGAGGTCGCTCAGAGAATAAGGTACTAGTAAGACTCAGAGGTGAGAGGCATTGTTGTTTGTGCATTGAGTCAGCATGAGATATAGAGACATAGAGGCCATTGCCAAGAGTCCGAGCATCACACACATGAACACAGGGCACGTCACTCCATTAAATAGGCCCACATGTTGGAATTTCCAGTTCGGCGCGTTTCCGTACGCACGGCGCCCCAAAAGCCAGAAAAAATACGAACAAACGCGCGGTTTCACACGTACATGCGCCAGTTGTGAACACAGCTTTAGCCATCCAAGTAGTAATAACACTACTCGGATGGAGAGCCAAAGATTAATTTACACATTTTACAGGGAAAACAAAGGAGTCGTAACACAGCTTCCACCATGTCTACTGTATGGAAAGCTCTGGCTTGTGCTGGTGCGTTGAGCACGGTTGAGGCAAGCGGAGCACGCTAGCTGATAATGCGGAAATGCACAGACAGAAGCCAGAGCAGTCGCTGTTTCGTAGCTCTGAGGTTCGCCGAACAGTTCATGAAACTCAGAGTTACGAAACAGCAACTGCTCGTTCTTCTGTCCGTGTATTCCGTTCTTTGCTATTGGCAAATTGAACCCTCTATGGATGGTGGATGAACTTCACAAGGCAATGCGTAAATAACTTACTTATTGCAGGCAAAGTGTAGTGGACTGAGGTTACGCCCAGGCATGCTAGTCAGCAACGCTCCACGTGCCAATAACTCACGGACGATATCTTGCCTGCCAACACACATACACACATACGCACGCACATACACACACACACACACGCGCATACACACACACACAGACACACACACAGACACACACACACACGTGCATACACACACACACACACACACACACACACACACACACACACACACACACACACACACACACACACGCGCGCATACACACACACACGCACACACACACACACACAGAACTCCCATTAAACCAACACCGGATGCTGCACCGGATGCCCAGTACGCCCTCACGCTGGGTGTTCATGCCAGGCTCTGCCATCACAACCTCCGGCTTGTGTTGGATTACATACATGTTGCCACGGCGACAGCGTGAACACAGACGAGGACGCACTGTACGGGAAACAGTGCTCCTGAAGTACAACTATAAACCGTCCTCGCCTGTGTTCGCGCTGTCACCGTGAAAACATGTTACCTCTCAGGCAAGGCTTGCATATACCAGTAAGAGTATATAACCCCCCAAGAGTGTGCAACTCTGCATTTGGGGGGGGGGGGTTACATACTCTTGATATTATACTCTTGATACTAGTAGTAGTTGGTCCATTATGCCATGTATGTATGTATGTATGTATGTATGTATGTATGTATGTATGTATGTATGTATAACTCATAATCACAAGGTGATTGTAGAGGCATTAATCAGCGAGAGAATTGTGAATGATGTCTCTGAATCCATTATGACATACATATAGCGTAAAGTACCGCCAGAGCGCCCCGTCTCGCGAGAGCGCCCCACCTTGATTTTACAGCCAGAGAAAGGAAAATCGTATGGCAGAGTGCAACGAAGTGTGTACGATGTGAGAATCTTTGTGTACTAAGGTCACACTTGGCAGGTTTTTATGTGGAGCTTGTGTCCACTTGAAGGTACGGATTGACTGCAAAACGTGCAATATGTGTACAAGGTTCATGTCGTATGACCTACAGACAGCAGACCACCTCCACAATACGACCACGAAAGGATGAGATGGTGGGGCGCTCTGGCGGTACTTTACGGTACCTTCTTTCCCCGAATATAAGTCCCCGGATATAAGTCACACGTTTTACACTCAACGTCACGGCCGACAAAGGGGATGCAACTCACAATCGAGCATGATCACTATTGAAGAGAATACAGTGTAACCTGTCAAGGCGACCACTCGGATAAGGCGACCACCTGTCCTAGAGGACCACTGAAACCAGGACCGAGGGATGCTATTTCCAGTCAAATGACCCTGGATAAGGTGACCACCTGGTAACAGAGACCACGTTTTGAAGGTCCCTTGAGCGGTCGTCTTAGACAGGTTCCACTGTATACTGAAACAATATGATATGGACCTGGAAATGGAGGTGCGACTCACAATCGAGTGTGACTGACAACCGGTGAAATATGGTACTTCAGCTTTCACAGTACTGTAAAAGCAGAAATTTTCGGTGGTGTTTTATTTTCGGTAACTTCGGTGCCGCCAAGTTTTACTGAAAACAAAACGTACCGAAAATTTCGGTACAACCGGTACTGTCTACATGTAGTACCAAGAGTACATAACCCCCCCCCCCCCCCAGAGTGTGCAACTCCCACATACCCTGCTGTCCCGACAGAATTTCAAGTTGACGTCATTATTTATGATGCAATGCTCCTTGCACCAGTGATTTACAACATGTGTACGGGTGTCAACGCATCACACGTTATTCTTTGCAATAATTTGTACAGGATCGATCGGCTTCGGTCAACCACAGGTTCCGGATTCGTCTGATAATCCGTGTACAGTGCGCATTGCATCATCAAAATGACGTCAACTTGAAATTCTGTCGGGACAGCACCCATAGTGGAGTTGCACACTCTGGGGGGTTATGTACTCTTGGTAGTACTAGTACACTTACCTGGAAAACGGGTTTTACCGAAAATTTCCCTCCACCGAACCGCCGATTTTGGAGAATACCGAAAATATTACACCACCGAAAATGTCTGCTCTTACAGTAGGTTTCAATCTTGCCTTTAGAAATATTCACTGGTTTGGGGAAGACACAAACGGGAGCAGTTTGAAGACGAAATTGACTGTCCCCACCAGGACTCGAACCAGGGACCCTCGCTTGTAGCCAGCGATGCTCTAGCCACTGAGCTATGGTGCAGTCGTCATCCCAGCAGAGACCGTTCAACATCTTCTTCAGACTTCGTAACTCGCACTTCTTGTGAATCCACACAGGCGGGTGGGACGCAGCCCTCACTGTACCCACACACTTCACGTACCCACAGCACGCGGGGAGCCCCAGGTCATAAAATCTTGACTAGTTTGAGGGAAAGACACAAACGGGAAAAGCCTGAAGAAAAAATTGACTGTCCCCACCAGGACTCGAACCAGGGACCCTCGCTTGTAGCCAGTGATGCTCTAGCCACTGAGCTATGGTGTAGCCGTCATCCCAGCAGAGACCATTCAACACCCTCTTCAGACTTCGTCATTGTTGTATATCAAAGTAAACAGAGTATCAGTTAATAAGACAGTTATTCATTGAGGTAGTTTGATTGCATTACACTTTTGTATATTTTCTTGAGACGTTCTCACTCACTGAGAGTTTTGAATATTTTAACACTTGTCATTTGAATGTGGTTGACATAAAGCTTTCAATGGTTAGTAATTCATTACAATCATAGTGAGTACATGAAGCACACGTCGACTTCCGTCTCTCTAGCCCCGTTCTCTTCTGCTCTCTTGCCCTGCTGGCTCCTTGTTCTTATTGGCGCATGCTCCACGTAATTGATTCATTCTAATTATCACTATTCCACGAACTGGTTACCGTTGTGTGCCGAGTGTAAACGAGAGGTTCGACCTCGTGTGTGTGTGTGTGTATACGAGGTTTGACCTCGTGTGTTCAAACCTCGTGTGTTCACTATATAATATCGGCGATGAAGACAAACCTTATTGTTCAGCTACCTCGCCGTAGGTGAAGCAGTTGTAGATGTAACGTACGAATCCCAGCGCTGCCAGCAGTGCCTGATGATTGTTGAGAGAGGGAATCGTCCCCTGTTTGGTCGCAACTGGTTGAGCTGAACTCGGCAGCATTGTTTGGCTCGATTCATGCATGTGCTGATGTGCTGTCCGAGTATCCGTCTGTGTTCGAGGCAGGGCAGGGCTGGGCACTGTCACAGGTCACACAGCATCCATCCGCCTTCAGGGCGACCCACAGCCGAAATGCTGCTCCGCAGGACCAGTCCCGTATGCCATGCGTGAGAAAGTGGATGCCGAATTAGATAGATTGGAACGTGAAGGCATCATCGAGCCAGTACAGCAAGCTGATTGGGCGTCTCCGGTTGTCGTGGTGCGCAAGAAAAACGACGCCATCTGACTCTGTGCCGATTTCAAAGTGACGCTGAACAAGCACATCGAGGCCAACCAACACCCAATACCAAACCCGACCGATCTTCTTGCCCAACTCTCTGGTGGAAAGACCTTCTCGAAGCTAGACCTCAGCCAGGTGTATGCACAACTCAGATTGGACGACGCCAGCAAGAAGCTGTGTGTAATCACAACGCACCGAGGCCTGTACGCATACACCCGGTTGCCAATTGGAGTGAGCAGCGCTCCCGCCATCTGGCAGCGCACCATTGAGCAGGTTCTCCAAGGCATCCCCGGAGTGGTAGTATATTTTGATTCATTCTAATTATCACTAGTTTACAAACTGGTTATCGTTGTGTGCTGAGTGTAAACGAGAGGTTCGACCTCGTGTGTGTCATACTTGCCAACCCAGCCAAAGCAAATACCTTAGTCGCACACCCAGTTCCCCTTAATTTTCTCTCATTTCCCTTATTTTTCTGGTTTTCGCCAATTTCGGCCAATTTCTCTTTTTTGGGGCAATTTTTGATTACTTTTACGTATTTTTCCGCAATTTTTTGGCATGTTTTGGCATTTTTTAATTCATTTCTAACCCATTGCTCATTGGGGGACCAAAACCTGAGTTTCTCTATTGTCAGATCGCCCCGACACGTTTGATTCTGTGAAATGCAGCGCCGCAAGTGCCCTTGTCACACCACAAAACAACCTTTTTATGCACACTCATGGTTCAGTGCCAATACCGGTAGTTTCTCGATCAAAGTCAAAAATCCCCGGTATGCCGGTAGTGACCGTAGTTTCCCAGTATAATACCGGGAGAACCGGTATGGTTGACAAGTATGGTGTGTGTGTATAAGAGGTTTGACCTCGTGTGTTTACTATAACAGTAATATGAACAGCAGCCCACCAAGTTCACAAAACCTAGCAACTTAGCATGTATTAACAACTGCTTACAAAGTACTTCAGAAGTACTAGTAATACCAAGAGTCCATAACCCCCAGAGTGTGCAACGCCACACAAATCCCTGTCACGACTTGTTTTCAACATTACGTCATCTTTACGTGATGTGCAAATACGCGGCTTGGCCGCAGACTAGACAAGGCCAAGTCATTACATCATGAAAATGACGTAATGTTGAAAACGAGTCGTGACAAGACCCTATCGCGCCTTGCACACGGTTATGGACTCTTGGTAACACTATTTTCCCAGTCGCAACCCCGCCACTGTGCGACAGGACTAACGATCTCTGAAAATGTCCAGTGCACCTGATCACTACCGTCATTGCTACAACCACCAGCCCTGTGCAGCACTACAGTACCGGTGGAAGCAGTTTTTGATTGGCCCGGCCATACCCTAGCCTTTCATACAGTTTGTGTATGATATGGAGGGTAGTCACATGACTTTCATACAGTTTGTGTATGATATGGAGGGTATACACATGACTTTCATACAGTTTGTGTATGATATGGAGGATATACACATGACTTTCATACAGTTTGTGTATGATATGGAGGGTAGTCACATGACTTTCATACAGTTTGTGTATGATATGGATGGTAGTCACATGACTTTCATACAGTTTGTGTATGATATGGAGGGTATACACATGACTTTCATACAGTTTGTGTATGATATGGAGGGTATACACATGACTTTCATACAGTTTGTGTATGATATGGAGGGTAGTCACATGACTTTCATACAGTTTGTGTATGATATGGAGGATATACACATGACTTTCATACAGTTTGTGTATGATATGGAGGGTGTATACATGACTTTCATACAGTTTGTGTATGATATGGAGGGTATACACATGACTTTTATACAGTTTGTGTATGATATGGAGGGTATACACATGACTTTCATACAGTTTGTGTATGATATGGAGGGTATGTAAATGTCCTCCTCAGCAGTAACACACACGTTGGTGGCCAAAAAGTTGGTCCGGCCATGACCTGACCAACCGGACTGATTCCGCCGGGCCTGCACTATGTACACACAAGTGTATAATTATTATGAGTACTGCAGCAGTTTGTAAAAACCTCCGACACATCACTCGTGGTTGCCTGTTGCCCATTGCGACACGGTCCAGCACCATACACGTCCAGTTTGTGCTCGGTGAATTTGATGGTGCCAATTCTACCGCACAGCATGCACGGCCATCTTTGATCTAGTTCCCATGACAATCGCTACTCACCTGGCATGAAAAGCCGCATAGTGCAACAGCGGCACGCCATGGTACTGGCTGTCCTTGTGCAGGCGGCCCTCAGTCAGCAGGTGAACGAACACGCGGAAGTCGAGATCGAACGAAGCGCTGCCAGGACCCGCGGCTACGCTGCCATCGGGGCCGACCGACGCCAAGGACTGTTGTTGTTGCTGCTGTTGCTGCTGAGCGAGCGCTGTGGCGTAGATGCTGCGCGGGTCGGTGCCGGGCCCGGTCGGGGTTGTTGGGCCCGACATTCCCCGCTCTTACCCCACCCGTCCGCCCCCTCCTCCTGCTGCCTTCTTCTTTGCACGTGGATTAGGTGCCGCAGCGCTGCTGGAGGTCAGCTGAGCAGTACGTTCAAATCGGCATGTTCACGTGTGCCACGCTAAACATACACGCGTGCACACACACACACACACACATACACACACACACATATATAATCAAATAAAGAAACAAACATACACACCTTTGACCTTTGACGCCCATCGCCGGAGGCGATGATAGCAATGCTACGGCAGAAGCCATAGCAACTTGTGCTGGGATTGCACCATTCAACAGCTTGCAAGGCTGAAGAATTGACCGTCACTATTCAGCCTGGTCTACACCATACAGCTATTTGAAGTGACTTTTTCTGGCCAGTGAATCCCTATTTTTGGTCTTTTTCTTTTTCTTTTTTTTCTTTTTTCCCACACACACATCACACCACATACTCCGGCATGCACTGGCTGTTGGTAACCACCCAGGAGAATGAAAGAAAAGTCAGGAAGAGTCTGAGAAAGAGAAGAAAGACGTGTGTGACCATAATCGTCGGGAATCGAACCCGCAACCTATCGATTGGAAATCGCTGCACATACCACTGCACCATATGGGACACACCTTGACCTTGACCTTTGACGCCCATCGCCGGAGGCGATGATAGCAATGCTACGGCAGAAGCCATAGCAACTTGTGCTGGGATTGCACCATTCAACAGCTTGCAAGGCTGAAGAATTGACCGTCACTATTCAGCCTGGTCTACACCATACAGCTATTTGAAGTGACTTTTTCTGGCCAGTGAATCCCTATTTTTGAATCCCTATTTTTGGTCTTTTTCTTCTTTTTTTCTTTTTTTTTTCCCACACACACATCACACCACATACTCCGGCATGCACTGGCTGTTGGTAACCAACCAGGAGAATGAAAGAAAAGTCAGGAAGAGTCTGAGAAAGAGAAGAAAGACGTGTGTGACCATAATCGTCGGGAATCGAACCCGCAACCTATCGATTGGAAATCGCTGCACATACCACTGCACCATATGGGACACACACACACACACACACACACACACACACACACACACATGGTCACAGGCGCACGCATGCACACCGTAAAAGCCCGTATTAACGCCCACCCAGTATAACGCCCGCTGCCCGTGTACGCACCCAGGTGCCGTGTAAACGCCCGTATAGGCGCACGCACATGCCCAGTATAGAGTGCAGAGCGTGTGTCTCCGGCGGCAACAACTCACATCACGTGTCTCAGGTACCTTTTGCACTACGTACAAACGAAGGATAGCGTGCGCGCAATCCGAAAATCTGCCATGATCATGCTGGGGATTTGCATACACGCAGTGAGTTTCTGTCAGAGAGCGTTTTTTATTACTCCGCTGCTCGCTAAAAGCGGGCTGGAAACGTACAACTGCGACACTACACCACGTGATGTGAGTTTTCGCCGTCGGCGGATCTCAAAGAAAGGGTATCATCAAGAGTACATACCCTGTGCCACTCCCACATACCCTGCTGTCCCGACAGAATTTCAAGTTGACGTCATTATTTATGACGCAATGCTCATTGCACCAGTGATTTACAACATGTGTACGGGTGTCAACGCATCACACGTTTTTCTTTGCAATAATTTGTACAGGATCGATCTCGGTCAACCACAGGTTCCGGATTCGTCTGATAATCCGTGTACAGTGCGCATTGCATCATCAAAATGACGTCAACTTGAAATTCTGTCGGGACAGCACACCGGTACCGGCAAGAGTACATAACCCCCAAGAGTGTGCAACTCCAGCTATGGGGTCTGCGACGGCAGAACTTCATATCACGTGATGAACCCGTACACATTATTTGCACTCTGTGCATGATAGATACAGGGTTGTACGCAACCCAGCTTTGGGCACAACTCTCTTGTGGTCACTTTGCACTGTTTGCAAGCATAACCTTTTGAACCATGTCACGTGATGTGAAGTTCTGCCGTCGCAGCACAGCATAGAGGTTGTGCAGGCAGTTGCACACTCTTGGGGGTTATGCACTCTTGACACCGGCCATAGTGGAGTTGCACACTCTGGGGGGTTATGTACTCTTGGTATCATGAGTTGCACACTCTTGGGGGGTTATGTACTCTTGCTACAACTTACAGCCTGTTTGGGCGCGTTCCTGTCACTCGAGTTGAACCTTTGAACCTTTGAGTTGAACCTTTGAACCTTTGAGTTGAACCTTGGTGTAAAAGTTGCAGCCTGCAGGCGCACGGGGATCCGGGGACCAGGCGACTGGTGTACGCATGAGCACGTGACCGCTTGTTCAACCATGTTCGATTGGGAATAAAGGAGGAACGCTGCATCGCAGCCTTTTCGGACCGAAACCAGTCGACTCAGCGTCCAAAACTACAGCCAAGAGTAAATAACCCGCAAGAGTGTGCAACTGCCACATACCCTACTGTCCCGACAGAATTTCAAGTTGACATCATTTTTATGATGCAATGCTCCTTGCACCAGTGATTTACGACATTTGTACGGGGTGTCAACACATCACACGTTTTCTTTGCACTGATTTGTACAGGATGAAACAGGGCTTTGTCCTCCACAGGTTTAGGATACGTCTGATAATACATGTACAGTGCACATTGCATCATAAAAATGACGTCAACTGGAAATTCTGTCGAGACAACAGCACCCATAGTCGAGTTGTACGCTCTGGGGGGGGGGGGGGGGGGTACTCTCGCTACAGCACATGGGCCAGTCGCGGTCATCCGTGCTTTTATAAGAATGAAATGGAGCTTTTAGTGACGTTTTGCATACAAATCCGCATCTAGTAGGGCGCAGTTACCCAGTTTCGGTGGAAAAGCGCGAGTTCTATCGGGAATAAAGTAGGAAGGGAGCGTCTCGGCTTCCTCGGACCAAGACCATTCGACTCGGCACCCCGAAGACTACAACTGGTGAACATTTGATTTTAGGGTATACTTCCCAGGGGCGTAGCACCCGCTACGACTGGTACGACCATGGCCGTACCACTTTTCGAAAAGTGTGGTCCGTCCGGAACGTGCAAAACCGTAATAAAAAAATCAGGATCCATCTATGCATATGCGCATCAGACTTTGACCTTTTTCTAGACTCGTACTCGTAGATCTGCCATGCATCTGTGCATGTCCATGCACGTCTCTTCTGCCCGTGAAATAATTCTATGACTTATAAACTGTGCCAGAAGTTCCCAGAACGCAGGATTTTGCGTCTTTTTTACAAAATTTTCCCGGGGGAGGTCCCCCGGACCCCCTCCAAAACGGCCTTCGGCCGCGCCGATCTTTGGTCGTACCACTTCCAAAACTACTCCTACGCCCCTGCTTCCCCTTTAAAAAACATGTTTTCACAATGACAGCATGTTACAAGGCAGAGGACGCACTGTATGGGAACACAGTATTCCTGGCTGCAACCATAAACTGGTTGGTAGAGTCAGAAACACTGTTTCACATGCAGAGCGTCCTCCGCCTCGCTGTCGAAATCGAAAATATGTATGGTACATGTACTACAACTGTTAAACACTAAAGTTAGGGGTGAAACGATTACGGGATATTCCTTAACGGTTAATCCAAGACTTATGGATTACTTATCGATTATTATCGATCAAGCACCACTGACGAAAAAACTCACCATTTTGCATCAACTACAATCAATTTTGGAACTTCGAAGAGAACAAAAATAAAGGAAACATCGACCGTCGCACAGGCACAAACTGATTCTGAAGGCTACTTGTCCAGAATAGTGAGTTCCGTGAAGCAACCGGAACGAAAGTTCGCGGGTACGAATCAGTGCACGGTGCAGAGAAAAGAGCCGCGTGTCATACAATAGATCTAGAGAGTACATCAGGTAGATCTACCGGGTAGAGTCTACGCGTGTAGTGTATATCCAGAGCATGAGCAACTCGCTGTGAGCGCTGCACGCGCGCATCCACTCGTACTCTGGTACATGTGCTGCACGCAGTAAAGTCATGTAGACACACTGCACATGCCGGATATTTCGTCGTACTGTATTGTATGTCGTACGAAAATGCTGTAGCGATTAGAAAAATCGTAATCGACTAGATTTTTTCGACTAATTTATCGAATAAACCACATAATCATTTCACCCCTAACTAAAGTACATAATTTGTATATGGTACGCTGGGTCAAGTAAAATAGAAAGCATTGCAGTGTGGCCTCCAGCTAGTCTTCAACAAGAGCAGCCTAACAACGCTTACTCTACTCACATAGTACCCAAATCATAGGGGGGCTCTCCCGAAATCGGCTTGAACGCACATCCAGGCAAACAATTTTAAAATTTTGATCTCGACTCTTTTCAATAGTACACCGAATTCAGAATAGATCTCGCATACCTATCTTCTAGAGACGACACAACTGGCTTCCAGGCAGGGAGCCCAAATACTCTTGCTCCGGATACTCGCACGTCCAGGCTCTGCCGGCGTGCTGAAAGGCCTTCTATCTTGGATTGACTTCAAATTAATGAATTGCAATTGGGTAATTGGTTTGTTGACAAGACAACGTTGTTCAACAAATATTCGGACAGAACGATGCAAAAAAAAGCACTGTCCCAGTGTCTGTCTGCAACCGGTACCCCTGATGAGTGAATGAAGGTCGATTTACCAACCACAGGGAGTACAGGCCAGATACTTTTCTTCTTTCTCCGCTTCTGCAAATACTGCAAATCAGTCAAATGTTTGTTTGCTTTTGGTGACCTGGTGACCTTCGTACAAAAGCTTGC